CAGTCCTGGTTCTCCTGGGACTCTATACAGGCTAGGAATGATAGGTTGGTGTAACAGAAGTCAACGTGACTATCGATACTCTATCAAGACAACACGCTACTTGTAGAAGAGCTCGAACCTATTGACATAATGATTCTGCGTTGGGGATCAAACGTTTCACTGACAAAGAAATGAAGCACAGTCATAGTTCGGGAGTGGCGCTGTTGGAGAGCCATTCACTCGCAGCCGGAGCAAAACCACTCATTGACTTATTGTCTTCCGACTTGTTCCAACTCCAACTTTCATTGTTTCCGCAACTGCATGTATGTGAACACACAGAGGCGCCTGCAAGTCGAGCGGGCCTGCGGGCTGGTGCGTCCCCCCACGGTAAGCTCATCTGTACACACAGTCATATTCTCTTGAAGACTACACCCACAGAAGAGTAGAAGCCATAATCACATACACACAAGCATAAAATAAACGCATAATGAGCAGATGGTGTACGCCTTTTCGTCCGTGTTTTAAAAAGTATATGTCCCTGCTCCCTTGTCACCACGGCATGGCGCGTTCTCAGGTTGCGGTCGGAGGAGAAGGCCTCCAGATATGGAGGGTAACTGCCAATATATTGAATAAGCAGTCGCGGATAGCCGGCAAGGGGCGGTCTCCCAGTTATGGGGTTGGGCGTGGAGCTAGCAACTCCTCGTTTTAAAAATAAGTTTGTTATGAAATGTCACAAAGGGCCTTGGACACAAACGGATTCTTTGGATAAACGATGTAAGCTAAGGAAAATGGACACGCAATTTGGTACGTGTAATGTAAGAAGTCTCTATGGGACAGATTCTGTCGTAACAGTTTCAAGAGAAATATCGAGACATAAGTTAGAATTGGTGGCAGTACAGGAGGTCAGATGGGACAGAGATGGCACCGAACCAGAAGGTGAATATACATCTTTTTGTGGAAAGGGGAATGGGTATCATGAATTAGGTATAGTTTCTTGTACACAGAGAATAATATTAAAAGTTACAACGGTAAAGTTTGTAGGTTACAGGATGCCGTACATAATACTGTAGCGTGTAGACCCGTAACTAGGTAGCGACCGCGAAAGAAACAGGTTTCCACGGCAACGAATCCACGCACAAAAATAGTGGAACTATTGGAAACATTTTCTACGCGGTACGTGCCAAGGGGTTATCAATGGGAGATGTTCAGAAGTTATACAGTTGTAACTCAGTCTGTTAAGCAGAGACTAGGAGGTTAGTCTCAGATGACCGCCAGCCTGGGAGTTAGTCAACTGGAGCAACAGTGAACTTGTGGGATATTCGCCAAACAGTAGAGACATAGGCAAAGAAGCTTAAGAATTTCCATTGTTAAGATCTGTTACCCGGAAACGATTCATGAAAGCAGACTGAGAAAGCTTGGCGTGTGCCAAGTGTAAAGTGTGGAGATAAGCGACAGTGTTACAGCTACCTGTAGTTACGGTCTATAAGTGGTCAATAAATCGAATCTTCAATCCAAACTCTGTCTACAGTGACTCACACACGTGATAATACTAAAGGATCGCTCGTGTGATATCACTGTTCTGAATGTCCAAGCCCCAACAGAGGATAAAATTGATTATATGCAGGACACCTTCCAAGCTGAACTAGAAAGAGTATTCGATAAATTCCCTAAATACCACATGAAAATTCTGCTAGGGGATTTCAATGACAGAGTAGGCAGTGAAGACATTTCCAGACAAACAATTAGGCATGAGCAGACACAAAATTCGTAATGACAATGGAGTTAGTGTATTAAACTTCGCCACATCAAAAAATCTGATTGTAAAATGTATAATGTTCCCAAATTGCAAAATTCATACATTTACTTCGGCATCTCCTGAGAGAAAGACACAATCAAATTGACCATAGTTTGACAGAGAAGTCAAGTTTACTTGATATCCGATAGTTCAGGATAGCAGCACACTCTGATACTGACCACTATCCGGTGGCAAAAGTTAGGGAGAGACTTTCAGTGAGTAAGTAAACAACACACAGACTTCATATGGAGAGGTTCAATCTCAAGAAATTAAACGAGGTAGAGGGTATAGAGCAGTATTGTGTTGATATCTCAAATAGGTTTCCAGCTTTGGAAAACTTAGACGCTAAGGTGGATANACATCGAATACATCGAGAATTTATTTGTCGCGATATACCCCGCGATACGCGACAATATTTTTGTCTGGATTTTGTACAAGGGTGAGAAAAACCAGCACACTCATGCAGGAAGCACAAGAAAGTGAACTCTAACAATATGATTTCATACGAACTTTTAGCTTAAAACTGTGTCCTTCAACCATGGCTTTCTTATCCATATAGCGAACATATCTTGGACAGAAGAATATGCATGAAATAATCTAATTATTCATTTAAAAATTTAATTTCTATTTCATACAGTACACACCGCTTTTTCATCACATAAGTCAACTGGTCAGTGCTGCGTAAGCAAAGAATTTCCGAATACCATCATGATCGTGTGGGCAAATATAGTTTCATTTCAGAATGATCAGAATAATACCAGCATTCAAGGAGTACTACTGGCAAATTTCCTGGAGATTAAGAAAGCCCGACTGTGAGACTGGTCACTAACATCACGTAAGATTTGAGACTTTCCAAACAAAATGTTGCTTTCTTTTTCTTGGTCGTTCTGAGAGCTACTTTGGAAAAAAGGATAAAAATTTTTCAAGTTATCGACTGAAATAGATTCAAACTGGTCAAGAAGATAAGACAGACCCTATCTTACGTAAGGATCTAGTTGTGTTACTTCTCCGGGGGCAAACATGTATATATCACAAGGAAACAAACAGAAACGACATGAGACGCCAGTGCGGAGGCCGGCACACACATAATCACATGGACAAGTATAGCCTCATGCCTTGTCACTAGAATCCAAGAAAAAAAAATATATATAGCTAACATATCCTTCAAAGATGTGACAAGTTTAAAATATTTTGGAATAACAGTAACAGATCAGAGATACTGCACATCTGAAAGACGTTCAAGAGCCGACAGAATTCAGGAACGATTCCTGCCGGACAATCTATGGATTGAACAGACTCAATTTGAAACTTACCTGTTGCTTATATGACTGTGACACTTGGTCTCTTACCAGAAGGAAAGTACTTAGGTTGAGGGCATTTGAAAACAAGGCATTGAAGAGACTGGGAAAGTAGCAACACTACTGAGAACATTTCACAGCAAAAAGCTTCATAATCTGTATAAGGTGCGACAATTTAATTCCCCTAATGGACGCAACGTGTCGCTGGGTTGTTGAGTCAGGCAAACTCATGTACCCAAGCACGTTTGGACATGCCCCAACTTGCGTTTACCTGAGCCACAGACCAAATGAGCCGTTCGCTCTAAAGCAACAGAGGAAGCAGCACGTGTCTATGTTATACTGTTGGCGGGAAAATGAGTGACAAGAATCTGGAGCAGAGGATACACATCAAGTTTTGTGTGAAGGTTGGTAACAGTGCTAGTGAAACGTTGGCCATATTAACAGTGGCTTATGGTGACTACGCTATGAAGAAATCGAATGCTTTTGAATGGCATAGGGGGTTCAAGGAAGGGCAAGAAGATATGCAAGATGACCCACGAAGTGGGCAGCCAAAAAACGCAAAGGAGAGTTGAAAATGTGGATAGAGTACGAAACTTGGTGCGCTCAGATCGAAGATTAGGCGGGAGACTAATAGCAGAAGAACTGAACATGAATAGGGAAACAGTGTGACAGACTGTTACGGAGGATTTTGGAATGAGAAAATTTCCGCGAAGATGGTGCATCGAAACTTGACAGATGACCAGAAACAACGTCGGCTTCACATTCCATCTGATCCTTTACATAACGCAGAGATGTTGGATAGGGCCATTACCGGGGATGAAACGTGGTGTTTTCAATACGGCCTGGAAACAGAACGCCGGAGCATGCAGTGGAAAACACACAATTCTCCTCGGCCGAACAAAGCACGCACGTCTCGTTCGCAGTTCTACAACATGCTTGTGTGTTTCTCCGATCACAATGTGTTAGTTCACTATGAATTCATTAAAAAAGGACAAGCGGTGAATTAACAGTGTTATTTGGAAATGCTGACAAGATTATGGGAATCTGTTCGGAGTAAAAGGCCCGAGCTCTGGCCTGACAAGTGGATTCTCCACCACGACAACGCGCCTGCGCACGATGCGTTATAAGTTCGCGAGTTCCTGGCTAAGAAATCCATTACAAAATTGGACCATCCACCTTATTCACCTGACTTCGTCCCTTGCGATTTTTGGCTTTCCAAAAATACAAAATGCCCCGAAAAACAAAGATTTGCTGACATTCCTGATATCCAGCGCAACGTGACACGTTACTGAGAGGTATTTCGGAAAACGCTTTTCAAGACTGTTTCCGACAGTGCAAAGCTTCACAAGGAGAGTATTCTGAGGGCGACAGCAGCCGCTAGTGCATAGGTAAGCAAGTTTTGCTTCCACAGGGCCATTCCGGGAATTAAATTGTCGCACCTTGTACACTGTAAAAAATATTACTATGGTACAATTCAAAGGAGGATGAGATGCATGAGCTAGGTAGCTTACATAGGGAAATGAGATATGCATACAAAATTTTAACTCTAAAAATTAAAGGGATGAGACCACATTGGAACGGGAGTATTTCGGAGATGAGTGTTAAAATGAATTTTAAAGAAATAGGATTGAACGGTACGGATTGGATTCAGCCGACCCAGAATAGGGTACAGCTACACGGTCTTGTGTGAATATGGCAATGTAATTTCAGATTTTGTTCAGGGAGTTGAACTTCTTGACCAACTGAACGATGTCAGCTATTCAAGAAGAACTGTACTCCAAGGAGTTGAATGAAGTTGAAATAATTCTGAAAAATATGCATATATTTATTATTTACGAGTTTATTTTATAAAGTGGCTATAACACAGTAATTAATCCAAAGTGGTCATTAAATATTTAACTCAGGCTATAACAGACATTTGGTCTCACCGCCATGAACTGGAGCCCTCGTGATCCGCACACTCAAGAAATAAGTCTTCCAGAACTCGCTTTTGCAGCCCGCGACCTGAAGTCAGAAATAAACATGACTTCATGACCTCAGTTCAAGCGAAATCCCTGTTTTTCTAGGTATCAGGTTATTACTTAAACAACTAAAATGAAGAACCCTGTACCAGAGAAGGTAGCTCAATAAGAAAACTCGAGGGACATGAAGATACAGTTGTATACAAACGAATGTCAACTCGAGGTGGCTTGTGTAGATATAAAATGTAGGCGCTGGAAGAAGGCAAGGACAAGAGAATGGAAGTTCTGGAAACTAGATTCCCGAGATATATTGGAGATAAGGGAATAAAACAAGCACGAAAGAAAGAGGAAAAGAGAATGGAAGTTCTGGAAACTAGATTCCCGAGATATATTGGAGATAAGGGGATAAAGAACGAATGAAAGAAAGAGGAAAAGAGAATGGAAGTTCTGGAAACTAGATTCCCGAGATATATTGGAGATAAGGGGATAAAGAACGAATGAAAGAAAGAGGAAAAGAGAATGGAAGTTCTGGAAACTAGATTCCTGAGATATAAGATAAAAAACATACGACAGAAACACTAAACTCGTCTGAATTGAATATACGAGTATAAGACCCAGATCATGTTCAAAGAATGAAAGAGGACAAAATAAGTTAAACAAATATTGAAGCAGACTTACAAATCAAAATGGATAAGGGGTTCAAGATGATCTGTAAAGATGGGCAGAACGATTATAAAAAATTGGGGTCGGTACTGGGCGAAGACCCAATGCATGAAATCGGAGAAGAAGAAGAAAAAAGAAATAGACTAAACAAACGACAGGCATTTGAAATATATCATTAATAAACAGACACTGAATTCAGAATTTTGTTCTAAAATAAAAAGAGAAAGAAACATTTATAATTCATAACTAAGTTCAGATAACACATGTATTTAAACACCGCCCCCTTATAAAAAAAATAAAAACCAATTAACCACATCACCATTTCCACTACAATGTTCCTTATGCTAATGTCAATGTGCTTTTTGAAACAATTCGTTTTGTTCCATGTGAAAACCGGCTCTACGGGCACGGCTAAGTCTAGGCACAAACAATCATCACACAAGAACCGGAAAAGTTATATCCTCTGGGATATAATGCTGTCTCAGCTGCTGACAGTCAAACGACGTATCGGAAGAATATGTCGCCTTCAACTTCAGGGTCAAAGAATAATCGACGCTTTGTTTTATATCCCAGAAGCTAGAACTATTCCTAACCACCGCTGTGAGAACCTCAAATCCTACAGACAAGAAATTTCTTACATGCATACTAGTTCAAAAGGGAACCTGAAATGTACAACTACTCAAACTGGAAGTAATTTTTTAACAACCGGACTATACAAAACTGCTTTTGGTTTAGATATAATTTTGTGAATAAATGTATATTTAAATCAAAGAAACATGTTCTTCGTATTTCAAAATGAATCCTTCGAGTCTTTAAAACAGGTATGCTGAATCTTTGGGGCGACCAAAATTATGAGATAACTTTACGTGTTGAAATAAATTACAAAAATTGCAGATGGGTGTAAACATAATTACATCGTGTAATTACCACGAAATTCAATAGATAAAGACGTTTTTAAATATATGTATCTGATGATGGCTTCATGAAAGCGGAAACATGTAGCAAAGTACTACTTGAAACTACAAACATATATTATTAATTGTTGTCTTGTGACGGCTTTCAATAAAGAAATACATAATACACAACAGGATGCATTAACTGGTAATTATAATTTTTCGACTTGCCATGCCAATATCACATAACAGAAACCTAAGGTCTGCACCCTCTGTTGCTTATTTTATTAACACAAATGGTAAGTTCCAAATTACTATATTGAACCTCTCGCACACGTCGATGGCTGCAATACGCGTACGTCAGCAGATTCTGCCCAAGTAATGTACTTTCTGGGAAAGAAATACAGTACACCTAAAAGAAACTGTATAATACAATCTAGGCAATTATTTTAACGTATTTGCATGTATTTACACACTTATTTTAACGGAGAAAATAAAATACAAATGTGGTTAGATGTAATACACGTACTATATGCGAAACCATCCACAACGCGATAAAATGCCAGTTACATTTGGAAATATGGTGATGTAAGTAACAATGAGTGCCGGTCACGGTAGCCGAGTGGTCTAAGGCATGTACTGTCTTCGCTCGCTTGGAAACCGGGATCGTGGGTTCGAATCCCACTCAGGGCATGAATGTTTAGTTTGTGTATGTGCGTTTTTCTGTGTTTGTGTACAGGTACAGAGGCCTTGCGGCGAGCTGATCACCGGCCCAAGGAGTCCTACCGAATGTGTAAGATCTAGAAAAACCGAAGTGAACGGAGAAGTTCATGGAGGTAGGCCTAGGCCCACTGGGGCTGTAGTGCCAAGGAAAAAAAAGGTAACAATGAGTACATGTGAACGTTGAGGTTTAGTATTCTTACTTTAATGTGAACAGATGCGTAGAAATCATTAATTGTAAGGTAATGTAAAACTAAAATGATCATTTCAAAAGTTAGACATTTTAAAATTAAAGTTGTCTTGATAACATTTCACTTAAAAATAAAAACTATACACAACTTAATGAGAATTGTGGATACTTACCTTAAGAGGCAGATGACAGTTTCATCAACAATATCTGGTATTCCTGCAGCCTGCTCCAGACAAGCTTAATACCAGGCATTTTATCCGCTTTTGTCCATATAACACCCATTTACACACAGGGGTGGAGTAATTTATACAACATTTGGTGAAATAACCTCAAAGAGAAAATATTTGAACTTACATAAAACAGTGACTAAAGTAGCGGCTTTAAGGCCTTACTTACTTACTTACTTATGGAGCTGAACCCTTGTTGAGGAGAAGCCAAATCTGCAGCTACTCAAGAACTTCCCAGCATTTTATGGAACCAAAAGGTTGATTACCGTGTTCACAAGAGCCATCCGCTGGTCCCCACATTAATCCAATCCAATCCATCCCATGCCATTCTATCTCTCTAAGATCCATTTTAATACTGTCCACCCATCTACGTCTTGGTCTTCCCAGATGTCTCTTTCCTTCTGGTTTTCCCACCAATATCCTATATCCATTCCTTTTCTATCCCATTCGTGTTACATGCCCTGCCCTCCTCATCCTCCTCGACTTGATCATTCTAAGGCTTTAAGGCATCCAGTAGTAAAAGACAAGCACACATTTATACTGCAAGAAGTGACAAACTTTGGTTGATAATACAACTGAAAGGATACTTAACATACACTTACAGGAAAATATGGGAAGTTTATATAGATGGAAGGGAAGTTTGTCGTTGGAAACATGGCATTAAGTTGTTAACGTAAAGTTAAGATGATTATGATTATCCTGTTATTATTGTTACTTGATTTTTCTGTCGCACTTTACTGTAGGTGAGCTGAACAGGTACCTACCAATGAAGATAAACCGACAATTAGGGGAATCCCCAACATCTGCAAAAATTGGCTCTGTATCATACATGTCATACACAGCCTGCACCAGGAGAGGGCGTTCTTCGTTGCACAGAGACACGACGCCCTGGAAGCAAAAAGAAAAGCGAGTAGACATACATGAGTTCTTGAATGGCACTGTATCAACTGAGAGGACTACAAATTGGGGAATGGTGGTGAACTATGTCAAAGACTTTCAAAGAAATAGCCTAGGACTGAGGGTAGTCACGAAAAATCTCATGCAACGGAGGTAATCGGAGTTTAGGACTTGGATCTTTAGGAAGGAAATCAGACCAGGGTGGTTACGGTGGGCAGGAAGACACAGGAACTCTCTGGGAGGTGGAAGAAACTTGGAAAAAGGTACATGCGAGGGAATAACATTAAATCGAATCTTAACGACAGAAATAAAATCGTTTGTGCCGTCTCAAGAGCGGATTAAGTAAGGTCTGTCCTGGCAACGACGAACTAGGAATGAGGTAGGCTTACGAGTATACAGAAAAGAATTGTCAGGAGTCGTACACTTTCTCCGGGTAATGAAGAAAAGAATTTGCCATGCCAACAGCACATACACATATGTTACGTATGTAACTTCTCGTTTACGAGCACAAGTTTACAAGTAATCATGAATATAAAAAAATTAATTTTGACTGTGGTTCTGTATGGGTGTGAAACTTGGTCTCTGACATTAAGGGAAGAACACAAACTGAGGGTGTTTGACAACAGGCTGTTAGGAGAATATTTGTACTGAAGAGAGATGGAGAGACAGGAGGTTGGAGAAAACTGCATAATGAGGAGCTTCATAAATTGTACTCTTCTCCAAGTATAATTAGAATGATCAAGTCAAGGAGGATGACGTGGGAAAGCCAGAAGGAAAGAGACCACTGGGAAGACCAAGGCGTACGTGGGTGGACAATATTAAAATGGATATTAGAGACATAGGATGGGATGGGATGGATTGGATTAATCTGGTTGAGGATAGGGACCTGTGGAGTGCTCTTGTGAACACGGTAATGAACCTTCGGGTTCCATAAAATGCTGGTAACTTCTTGAGTATCTGCAGAATTGGCGGTTCCTCCAGAAGGGATAAGCTCCATGAGTAAGTAAGTAAATGTGTTGCTAATAATTCGATTTGTGCCGGTGCGCACTGGTCACTATAGCGTATAGGTTACGCGCTGGATGACTAAAGGTTACGAGTTCGATTATCGGAGAGGGAAATATTTTTCAGAACTTCACAGTGTCCAGATCAGCTTTGGGACCCGACCAGTCTCCTATTCAATGAGTACTGAGGGCTGTTCTCCAGAGGCTCGTGGTGTGAAACTGTGCATTTACCTCCACCAAGTGTCGAGGTTAAGAGTACATGGAGCTATACCTCCGCTGTCTCGTACGTTACATTCCAATATTATTCACAACGCACATCGTCACAAACCTACAGTACTGAACCCAGGATAAACACTATAGATCCAGAGGCATGTTAATCAGAAAATGTTACCAACCACTGCCCTAGGGAGGTCAAGTTTCTTACTTACTTACTTACTTATGGAGCTGAGCCCTTCTTGAGGAGCCGCCAATTCTGCAACTACTCAAGAATATCCCAATAGTTTACGGAACCCAAAGGTTCACAAGAGCCCCCCACCGGTCCCTATCCCGAGCCAGATCAATCCAATCCATACTATCCCATTCTATCTCTCAAAGACCCATTTTAATATTGCCCACCCACCTACGCCTTGGTCTTCCCAGTGGTCTCTTTCCTTTTGGCTTTCTCACCAATATCCTATATGCATTCCTCGTCTCCCCCATTCGTGCTACATGCCCTGACCACCTCATCCTCCTTGACTTGATCATTCTAATTATGCTTGGAGAAGAGGATCAAGTTTCTTACCCATACAAAAGAATAAATAATAAAATAGTCTTGCAAATTTGGTGACTAAACCGATTAAGGCCAATTTAGGTTAAAGAGGCAGCGAGAGATGTGCTTTGTAATGTGGTGATATCATTTTACAATATTAAATTTCCGGCCGAAGTTCACTGCTTCCAGCCCATAGCGTTTACAAGAACACAAAGACGTGCTGTGGTCAAGACATTACAACGCAAGTGGACGTTGTTCGCATTTTTTAGTATCAGAAGTCTCTTGTCTATTTATTCATTCGCCTGGGTGTCGGCTGGTTGATTGTGTTGTTGGTCTAGGCAAGAGGACGTGACGCGGAAATGTTCCCCTCACTATATTAATATTTGGTGCAACCGTGCGCGTGTCCTCCCCCGAACAACAACCCCCTCATTTGACTGCAGAGTATTAAAACATTCCAGACACCAGCGTTCACTACTGAGGGGTGTGAAACGAGGTGATAACGCACAGCTAAGCGGGCGAGAATCCAAACGGCTTCCTCCTTAAGGTTTGCTTACAATATTTCGCAGCCTTTCATACTAGATGTTATTAAAACCATAAGGGTTATAATTTGTGCGTGCAATTAAAAAGGTATAGAAAGGCAATCGAAAAGAGGCTATTTATCCTCAAATTACAAATTAAATTCCCAAAGTGCATGTTAGAAGAGGACTGCATACAGGATAGTGGTGGGAAAGCCAGAAGGAAAGAGACCACTGGGAAGACGAAGGCGTAGGTGGGTGGATAATATTAAAATGAACCAGATAAATCCTATCCACACTCACATTTCTTTAAGAAACATTTTAATATTATCCTCCCGTTTATGCCTAGGTCCTTCAAGTGGTCTCCTCCCTACAGTTCACCTATCAAATTTCAGTATACATCTATTTTATATCCCAAGCGTGCTATATGCCCGGCCCATTTTATTCTGAGCAACTTTATCATCCTAATAATATTCGGTGAGGCGCGCGAATTATGAAGTTCCTAAATTCATCATAAAATTAGGGACTAAATTCCGGCAATGCAATGAATACCCTTCCGGCTCTTACTTAAAATTCTACAGATTAATATACATATATACATACGCCTAAAATTACAGGCTTTCTGAGTGAATGTGACAGCTGGTCTCACACTCTAATGGAAGAATATGCACACAGTGTGCTGACAAACGAAATGCTCATGAACACTTTATATCCGACAGAAATGAAGCAACACAGGACGGATGGAAAGTATATAATTGGAAGATTCATAATTTGTACCAAGCGACATACACTATAAGTCTAGTGCTAGGGTAAAAGTAACGCCCTGTAACGGGCGGTGGAGGCCCATAGGGCTGTGAGATATTGAGGTTCCCACATTTTCTAGACAGTCGGCTTAGAGATGGCGGTAAGGTTGTCAGCCTTACGCGCCGGCCGCCCATTACCCCCAAGAACATTCCTGGTACTCATTTCTGTTAGAGGCTGAGTCGACCTGAGGGCCATAGTGAGGCTGGAAGGATTATGTAAATTAAAAAAAAATCCACCTTACTGAAATTCGATCCCGCGACCTTCCGGCTTGTAGCATAGTGCCTCAACCAACTACGCTACCGCGTACGGTAACATGATAATTGTTATAACATATCCGCTGGTAAGCACGGCACGCTTAGCACATAAACACGCATCAGTTCATTATTTGAAGTTTAAAAATTCAGTCATATCTGCAATCGCCACTGGTCTGAGTGCTTTCGGCAAGACTCTTATGATATTTTATATATCATCACTTGATGTCTGACCACATCTACAAAGCTCATAACAATCTCTCCGTCATTATTAGGAAATATACTTCCCGCATCATTTTTCCAACGAACTTGTTTCGACGCGGATGTATCCTACAATCAGTTGTCCGGGCACATCTTACACTTCTGTATATTCCTGGGGAGCGCTATCACACACGTGCGCGCGCATGCGCTATAACCCTTTCCATGCCGTTCACAAGATATCTCGTTAGAATTGTCGGACTTACAGTCTTCATTAATTTGACGTTTGTAAAATTGGTGATAGCAAAGTCAGTATAGCGATTGGGTACGGGCTGGACGACCAAAGGGTCGGAGTTCGAGTCCCGGTAGGGTCAAGAATTTTCTCTTTCCAAGTCGTCCAGACTGGCTCTTGGGGCGTGAATCTGACCACTCACCTCCAACTAGTACCGAGGTCAAGAAAATATGGATCTATACATCCACTCCCCCATACGCCTTCATGGTGTAGTGTTAATTACTTAAGCACAGAACACCTTTACCTTGAAAAATTTGTGAAAGAAACATGTATTACGAGGTCTCAATAATTAAAGCCAAAAAATAGAGTACTTTAAACGATAAAAATTATATACGCTCTACCATGGAAATACATCCCCCCCCCAAAAAAGGCTAGAACTCAGTGCCGCAGAAGATCCGCCTGGTTCTGGAATTCTGATCACAATAAGCTGTTGGTTCCAATGGGTTTCATTTTACCATGGATTGGCACCACACGCTTCTGTCATGGGAAATTACTACGACTTCTCTTGTGTTACAGCAGAAGAATTCTGCATGGGAAATAGAACCCGTGCAACTTTGCCAGCTCACCGACGGCAGAGTCAGGCACATGGCAGTGCGGCAACTTCACACCGCATCTTCAGTGCTGAATTTTTCGGACGTGTTACATTCTTTCATTCACCGCTGCAATATTCCTGTTTCATTTGTACTTTCTATTGTGAGATTAGGCACACTTCTCATTGGATAAAAATGTAATTAAAATTATCCTTTCAATTGGTGATATTTTAATCGGGATATGTATATGAATCAAGCAACTAACATACGCAAGCAGAGCAAGTTGGTTCAAGCGTTAATGTGATCCGTGGTTTTAGTCCGCAAGAGAACTATACCGACAGTAGTACTGGAGGTTCTATATGGAAACTTGCGAACTATTGAAAGTGGTAAAAGGTAAAAAAAAAAATAATAAAAAAAAATTAAGCACTACGCCATGAACCAAAATGAGGGAGTGGATGTACAAATCTACATGTTCTTGACCTCGGCACTAGCTGGAGGTGAGTGGTCAGCTTCACGCCTCCTGCCGCTTTACCCCGGTGAACCCCAGAGCTAGTATCGATGACTTGGAGAAGAGAAACTTCTTGACCCTACCGGGACTCGACCTCCGACCCCTTGGTCGTCCAGCCTGTAGCCAGTCGCTATATAGACCGAG